CTAAATTATCCTGATTATCCTGTATTCCTTCTTTACACATTTTTTTAAGAAAAAAAAAAAAAAAAAAAAAAGCCCAGGCATGGTAGGTACAATGCCTCTAATCCCAGCACTTGGGAGGCAGAGCAGGTGGATCTCTGTGAGTTAGAGGCTAGCCTGATTCACAAAGGGAGTTTCAGGACAGCCTGGGCTGTTACACACATTGGAAGCGGGGTGGGGGGGAGAGAAAAGAGAACAAGTTACAGCTGATGGGGCAGAGCTGTCCTCAGCTGCTTGTGGAGGTAGGGTGTCAAGGTCACTTCAGCACAAGTAGGTTAAACTTGAACTGAAGCAAATTTGAACATAATGAAACCTCCTAATAATTATAACCCTATCGTATAATCCTAGTACTTAGCCAGGCGGTGGTGGCACACGCCTTTAATCCCAGCACTTGGGAGGCAGAGACAGGTGGATTTCTGAGTTTGAGGCCAGCCTGGTCTACAGAGTGAGTTCCAGGACAGCCAGGGCTACACAGAGAAACCTTGTCTCGAAGGGAAAAAAAAATTTAGCACTTGGTAGAGGCAGAGATGATCTGGAGTTCAGGGCTCTCCTTTGATACGTAATTCCAAGCCTACAGGAAATCACCTCAAAAACAAATCAAAATAATTTCTTAAAAAAAAAAAAATACCCAAATAAAGCAATATGAGACTGATAAAAAAAAAAAATTTCTTCTTCCGATCATGAGAAGTATTTTTATTAAGAATCCTGACTCAATTACTGCAGCCTACCACATTGTTTTCCAGGCACAGCTAAAGACCAGAGTTATAATTTCTCAAAGGATTCATTGCACTTAACCCTCCAGTTCAGTATCACAAAGACAGTACACTGCTTTCTCTGTGGATGTATGAAAATGTCGACAGGAGTTTTAAATACTTAAGAGTGGTGAAAAGGTTGTATGCAGAATGGACGGGCTGGTCAGAAAGACTCTGAAATCCCAGTTCTCAGGAGACAAGGGCCCAACCACATGACAAGACAGGAATCTGAGGTTAGCCTAATATAGTGAGTTCCAGGCTAGCCTGAGCTACATAATTAGACCCTATCTCAAAACAAACCAACAAAAAGAAAAACTGGAAAGCTGGGTGGCACATTCCTTTATCCCAGCTCTTGGGAGGCAGATAGATCTCTGTGAGTTCAAGACAATCTGGTCTACATAGTGAGTTTTTGTTTCCAGTGACTTCCAGGAAAACCAGAGCTATGTAGTGAGACTGTGTCTCAAAAATTTAAGCCAAACAAACACAAGATAAAGTGTTGATCCTCTACAAATGTGAATCTCAAGTTGTCTAGCCTGTCACTGCTTGTTCCTACTAGATGGGGTAGATCATGTCCTAGGGGATGGAATATAGATTTGAGAACCCGGTAAGGAAATTTATGGAAACAGTACTTCAGGGAAGAGATTCCGGACTACTCATCACAGTGCAGAGCAGAGCCCTGCATATAAGAATCACTGTTGTCAGACCACTGATGATGCTGATTCTGACCTCTGAAATGCTGGAGCATGAGCAGATCCAGCCTCATGACTCCTAGAAGTGCCCAATCTTGAATACCATGGAAGCCAAGAAACTGGTGTTATCAATAACCTGGCTGGTTGTGCCCATTTTTAAGCTAAGAGTCATAATATACATAAAACACATGGATAGCAAATCTATGAATTGACACCATACAGTCAATATATGAAGTCCCTTCATACTTCCAGTCAATCACTACGCCCCTTTCAAGTCTCCCACCACAGCCACTAGCAGATTTAACTTCTACATTCACAAAAGCACATAGTACTTTCTGCCTTCTTTTGCTGAAACAATTCTTTTACTGTTTAAACATATAAATATAACAGTTTGTTTACCCAATCTATTAGGTTTTTAATACAATGAACAAAATTGGTACCAAATTTCACGTACTATTCTGTTGCTGTGAAGGGACACCATGACCAAGACAACTTATAAAAGGGAGCATTTAATTGGGGGCTTTAGAGTGAGTTTCAGGACAGCCAGGGCTACACAGAGGAACCCTGTCTCAAAAAACAAAAACAAAAAAAAACAAAAGAGTAACTATTTGTGGGATAGAGATAGCTCAGTGGTTGAGTTACTGACTACTCTTCCAGAGGACCTGGGATCAATTGATAGCACGCACATGGTGGTCCACAATTATCTGTTAACTGGTTCAGCAGATACAAAGTACGGGGACCAGGTATGCATGTACACAAATAACTAGTAGGCAAAATATTCACACACACTTTAAAAAGTATTTCAGCATGTATCACTTGGTTAGCTTTCTGTCATGGTGATAAAGGTTGCTTTAGAAGCAGTGCCTTTGCCTGGGTGACCAAAGTATAACATACCAAGTTATGGGGGCAGATGTTGCTTACATGACAGCCAGGATGCAAAAAGAAGGTACCAGGTGCCTGCCTCCCAAGAAGAGTGGGATTGAAAGCATTCACCTGTGTCTTAAGAAGTAAACCTCCAATTATCAGTAAGTCCCTGGAACTTAACCAAGTAACTGCAGTCATCAACCTAGACTAGTATTGGTCACTAAATACTTCACTGCAGCCAAATGAAGATCAAAAGGCCTAACAGTGTTGACAGCATTGCAGAGTTTCCCACATTATTCTGAGTTACAATGGCCCATCCTTTATGAGAATAGTTGCCCTAGGACTTACTTCCTTTTCAAGTTAGTCTACAGTTAGGGCTGCTCAGTCCACACTGAAGGTTTGAGTTTTGTCTTTATTACAAAATTTTGCTTTTCTATGATAGGCTAAGGTAAAATCATTTCAAAGACCTTTGGAAGCACTTCTTGTAACAGATTTTCAAGGTGGCCTACAGGTAGGCTTAAATTTTAACTAAATACATGAAATAAGCCAGCCACTTTACGTGTAACACATGCATGTCTGGTGCTTAAAAAGATGTAGGATCCCTGGAACTTGAATTTTGGAAGGGTGTGAGCCACCATGTGGGTACTAAGAACTAAACCTAGGTCCTCTGCCAAGAGCAGCAAGTGTTCTTGCATCTATGCCATCTTGAGCTCCTGGCTCAATCACTTATTAAAAATAAGCCCTTTGAGACTTCCCCAATAAGCCCTTTGCATACTGCTACCCTAAGTCCCTATTCAAAGATAGAGTAGATTAAGTAATCCCTATTCTACAAGGTAGTAAGTAAGAAGACCAACTTTCATGCAAATTCAGTTCTGGTAACAAACCAACTGTAGACCAGCTGACTTGACCACACCCCAGAAGTGACTTGTGACTCAAGCTCACAAACAGCTATTAGCAGCACTACTTGCTTCATTACCAAGACACCAACAGGCCTGCCGGAGATATATGGAGATATATATATCAACCAATACTTTACGGCTAGAAAAGTAGTTGTGATAGTATTTGCTTGCTACCATGTCCACTTGTTTTGTTAATACAGGTAAATGAAACTATTGGCCTAGAGGACAGAAACCCATTAAAACTTTACCCTGTAAAAATATAGGCTAAAACTGGGGGAGGGAATTGCTTAATGAAAATTAAGAAACTGAGCTATCTATTGAGAAATCTACGGATCTCCATTAATATGAACAATGACAAATTTCTGGAGTGGCATGCAGAAAAAATGAAGTATGGCACACTATAAAGGGCTCAGTGGCAGAGCACTTACCTAGCATGTATAAGGCCTGAGATCTGGATGATCCCTGGGCATCATAAAACCTTAACAAATCATCTCCAGTATTCAGTCTTTTGGCTCACCAACTGCAGTCTCTAATTCAATGGTTCTCAGCCATCCTAATGCTGTGATCCTGTAATACAGTTCACGTGGTGGTGACCCCCCAACCATAAAATTCTTTCCTGCTACTTTATAACTTTGTTACTGAGCAGTAGGTTTGGTTTATTTAAAGGGAGGGGAAAAAAGCCAACCTTGGAGTATGCTGGTTTCTACTTACAGGATGTTATACTACACGCTTCTAAATCAGAAGTTTCCAAATCTCCTGTTGGAGGCCAGACAGGGCCACACCCTGTCCCATTACTAATCTGGCTTCTAACTTAATGGATAAAACCCACTAAACAATACCTGATTCACCAAGCTCTCGTATTTTAACTATTTATTTATTTATTTATTTATTTATTATATGTAAAGTACACTGTAGCTGTCTTCAGACACCCCACAAGAGGGCATCAGATATCATTGCAGATGGTTGTGAGCCACCATGTGGTTGCTGGGATTTGAACTCATGACCTCTGGAAGAGCAGTCAGTGCTTTTAACCACTGAGCCATCTCACCAGCCCCGCTCTCGTATTTTAAAAACAATGCCCAGAAGCAAACAATCACAAATAGGACTTTTTATTTGTCACTATTAAAAATCTGGATTTTAAACAGATTCTTGGACTGGTGGTTCATATCCATCGGCTCGCTCAACCTTAGCACCTGTCTCATCTCCAGTTGTTTTGCCAGAACTACCGCCTTCACCATGGAGCTCCATGAGCTTTCCCACTAAAAGGAAAAGAAAAAGTCTTGTTATAAACAAGTATCATACCTTAAAAAATTGGTTCCCATACTACAGACAGAAGAAAACAGACCGTTACTTTGCCCTAAAAACCTACATATAGAGGCCAGCTCAGTGGTTAAGAGGCACTTGTTTTTGCAGAGGAACTGGGTTTCTCACTTACATTCAAACTTGGGTTTCTTCAACATTTTTACTTTTCTAACAAAGACATCATGAAGAGGATAAATGGACTGGCAAGCCTTTTCTATGTCTTTCCCAATGCTGTCTGGAATCCTGCAAGAACAGTAAACTTTTAAAAAAACAATCAAGCAACAAAAAAACCACCAAAGTCTACTTTCTCATACAAGAAGCAATTTTCTTTAAATGGCAAAAAACAATCTTAAAAAGTATCTAAATTGTAACACTTAGCAACAAAATTAACATTTAAGTCTTCCTTATGGTTTTTTGCATAACACCCTCTTAGCCACCTGTATTGTATTCTACATGGGAACATCAGAAAAATGAGTTATCAGTGGTCATCAACTGGAACAGAAACACTTTCTCATCACGTATTCCCATGCATTATTATGTAAAGCTGTTATTCACTGTGTATTTAAGTCAAGTGTAAGTCTCACTATCCACTGTAAGATAACTTCAACCAAACAGTGATTTAAGTTGGGGTCCAACTCCATCTAGTCTTCAGTAACAGCAGATGATTCAACAGGCATTCAGAATGCTTTAACAGGAGAGAAGGAAACCCACTTACAGTTTATTAACGACTTCCTTCAAGTCATTAGTCTGCACTTCTCGGGTCATGATCTCCATCATCTTCTTGCGGATCTGGCGGACTTGCTGGTGCTGTGCATAGGATGTCTTTCTTATCTGGTTGTTGCGTTTTTTAGTGAAGCCAACACAGAAAAGTCGGAGCAAATACCCATCGGTCGTCTTGACATCAACGTGAGCTTCAATCATAGTCTAGTAAGAAAAGGATATAGTCAGCTTGTAACAGTTTTGGGGCTTGCTGTTTTCTGAGACAGTTCTCACAACACAGCCCTGGTTAGCCTTGAACTCAGAGATTCCCCCCTCCTTTTGTTTTTAATGGCCTAAATCAATCTTTTAGTGCTAAAAGCTTGGGATTTCAAACCCATGTGACATAAAGTATATAGTTTACACAACTTCCTTAAAGTGAAATTAAAATGATACCCCAAAATCATTGTTACCCTCTCTCTAAACCGGTCATCAACCGGACTCACATCCTTACATTTGTATCAACACCCCTCCCCAAACACAGGAGCTTTGAAAGTTGAATTCTAAGATGGTATAGACAGAATGAAACTGTATGTTTTTATTTTTTAAAAAGGAAAAACAGGTTGTGTGGTGGTTTATTAAATCCAGTAGCAGGAGGCAGAAAATGCCGGATCTCTTTAAGAATGAGGCAACATGGTCTACATAGATGTTCCAAGGATTCACAGTGAGACCCTGTCTCAAGATACCAGAAAACCAAAAACAAAATAAGCCACACATGACACATGTCTGCAATCTCTGCACTCAGTGTACAAAGGCAGATTGTAAGTTTAAGGCCAGCTTGGTCTACATAGCAAGCACCAGATCACAACAGGTTGAAGATCCTTTCTTTTTTTAAAGATTTATGTATGTGAGTACACCGTAGCTGTCTTCAGACACACCAGAAGAGGGCGCCAGATCCCATTACAGATGGTTGTGAGCCACTATGTGGTTGCTGGGAATTGAACTCAGGACCTCTGGAAGAGTCATCTCTCCAGCCCTGGAGATCCTTTCTTGAAATAAGAGGGCAGTGGATTAGCTCTGCTATAAAAATATTTCTCAATGCCTTTTATTCCAAACTAAAGTTATGCAAAGAACTTAAGTATGTAAATGCAAAGATGTAAATAAAATCTGTAATTAGACCATACTACCATCTTTTAAAGGATCACATTTAGTGACAAAGTGATCTGATTTCTTTGAATTTTACAAACTATAAGAGTTTCAAAATATACCCAGTATTTGCCATGAGCAGTGGCACATGCCTTCAATCCTATCACTCAAGAGGCAGATGGATCTTTGAGTTTGAGACCAGCCCATATAGCAGTCAGAACTGCCTGAAAACATAAAATCTTAACATTCACTTCACTGCAAAGGAGTACGTATCAATATTTATTAAATAGCTTATCATTTCCAAAATGATATAAAGTACATTAGGGAATGTCAGCAATACATGTAACGGTAATCAGTAGGCTTCATTTGGGACCGAAACATCTTGTCATCACTCATTCCCATATACAATATGCTATTCCTCTTACCCGGCCGGATACACCTCAACAGCTTTTTCCTTAAACATGGATGACTGCCATCTTTGTTGTCAGTGTGCTAAGTCCATTTCCCTACATGTTATTTCATCTTCACAACTCCATGAACTGATTTTGACTATTCAAATGAAGAAATCAAACTGCTATGACAGCTTGTTACTTTAAAGGACAAAACAAATGGGGACCAAGTCACACTCACTGTCAGACAATCACGTCAGCTAGCTCACCTTTTCACTATGAACTCTAAATTTAGAAGGTAACCCTAAAACATACTCAGAACTGCAAAGGTGCCCACCCCACCTAATGTGAAGGATGCGGCTGTGTGTTGGGACCGACTGCCTAGCATGAGGAGAGCCTGGGTCTCAAGAGTAACAGTGATACTCACTGATGTAAAACGGGATTCAACGCCAGGCTAGTGCTTCATACCAAGAAAACCATCCCTAGTTGGAAATGAAACTCTCCATGTTTTGATCCTTCCTACCAACACACCCAAGACATGCACACCCACACCACAGCACACTTAAGACAGTTTTTTGTCTCACCTGCCACTTTTTGACCATGGAGCACATTTTGTCCCGGGTAAGATCCATGCCATGGAAGTTAGTCAGACAGTTTTTGCCCTGAACGTCCTCAGTAATTAGCTTGAATTTTCTAAATGCAACTTCATCATTCTGTAGATCGGCAAGGCTCACCTCAAACACACGACCCTTGAGGCCATCAGATGCAATTTCTACAAAAGAATCACAGATCCTGTTTTAACTTGTTACCAAATCCACCTCCAGTGACTTACTGGCAATACCTAGATGTTTTTCGTGGACTGTTGTATAAACTGTCCTCGTTGCCACATATGCACTTAAAAACAAACACTCCAAATGCCAGACCTGCAACCACTGGGCTGACATTTCTATCAAGTGCCCAATCATTGGACAAATTGTTGACCAAGACGCCTGTTAAAATACGCATGCAACAGCCAAGGAACAAAGCAAAATAAGTCTTTGGTACTCACTGGTCCCTTGAGTCCTTGTGACTAGTGTTTTTCCGATGTTCCTAATATTGAACATTGCTGGAGCTTTCACATCGTACCAGTCCTTCTTAGAAAATGGATCAACCCTGGATTGGAGAAAAATAACCTCAAGTTGCTTTGTAAATCCTAAGAACACTCCTGACAACTTTTAAACTCTTCTTAGCCATGCCTTCCCCACTAAGCTACACAGGCTGCCCCGGAACCTAAAGGACTTGTGAAATTAACCAGTCCGGAACAGCACGAACTGCTGCTAAGCAAGTGTCATGAGTTTCCAAGTTCCACGAGGCCCCAGAGCACAGAAGTGACGTGGGGTCCCAAATGGACAGCCAGAGTGACTGCCGAGCGTCCTGACGTAGAAGGGGTGTTAAAAGTGCCGCAACCCACGAGCCACAGGTCGCAACACGCGAGCAACTGCTGGAGACGGAGGACGGGCTCCCACGCGGTGCGCGACACCCGGCCCGGTCGCGGAGAGGCGACCGTCCGGCGCGCACCCGCCGGCAGCGCTGCCGCGCAATCCACCCCGCATCCTCACCATCCGCCCCACACTGCAGACCAGGACCTGCCCGCCAACTCCTGCGGGCCCCAAAGACCGGGGATCCGCAAAATCCGTCACTTACACTTTCTTCTTAGCTCCCTTCTTGCCACCTTTCGTCAGGCGCTTGTTCTTGCCGACCGCCATGGTGCCGATCGGAGAGCCAAAAGGGCGGAAGTACAACTCGCGCGAGAACTTAACGCGAACCGGGCGGGGAGTGCTGTCTACGTGACCCTTGCTCTTTCGCCCTTCCGGCTTTAGTAATCTCGCGACACTACCCAGCAGCTGGTTCCCACTGTGCTGCGACAGCGCCCTCGTGTGTCGGGAGGTCGCGCAGCGGACCGCTGGCTGGCTAGGAGACCGCTGTGTGCCCGGAGCTTGTCTGAGATGCTCATCACATCAGGTTTCCTGTGGTTTCCGTTGCCCTGAGGGTGGGACGCTTCCGTACAATGAGATGCCCGCTGAACTCTCTCAGACTCTAATTTTGAGAGTATGTTTCTTCCCTAGACCAAGGGCTTTGAATCAGAGATAGCAAATCCGTGTTCTAGTGGTGATATGAACAGTACTTAGCCTTCTGACCTCTTTAGCCATCAGTTCCCTCCTGTGTAAAATCATGTGATCTATTTCATAACGTTAGTATAATTCAATAAGCATAACTTTGGGCACGCTATTCACGTGCTGATGATTACGCTTAGGTATGGTTGTGTTGTGAACATTCATGAAAAGAGAGGCTAAGCCATATGTGATAACACATGCCTGCAATCCCAGAGCTCTGGAGGCAGGAGGATAGCAAGTTGGAGGAGAGCCTGGAGTATACGGTGAATTCCAGACTGGTCTGAAATACCTCAAGACAGACTGGGTAGGAGGGCAAAGGGGGTATATGTATAAGTACATTACACATTTGTAGTCATACTTTTATTTTGTATGACTATGTGTGTGGTCATACACGTGCCTCACAGACTTCTGTGTGGAGGTCAGAGAACAATTCTCAAGAGTTGGTTCTCTTCTTCCACATGTGGGTGTAAGGCTCAGGGCGAGGCTTCCATACGATGTGCCTTGCATCCTCACCATCCAACAGGCCTCTGCAGGTGCCCTTACCAGCTGAGCTGTCTCCACAGCCCTGGTTTTTTGTTTGTTTGGGTTGGGTTTTTTTCTGGGATAGGAGGAATGTTTGTTTTTTTAGTGGATTGGTGGATTCCATCTCCCGCACTCCAAAAGGCTCAGTCAGGATCAATTGTTGTACCTATCTGCCCAGCAGTTTTTGTAATGCAAACCACCCCTTCCCCACTTTTAAGAATGATGTGTTTATTTTATTTTATATGTTTTGCCTGCACATATGTCTATGTGAAAGTCCCAGATCCCCTGGAACTGGAGTTACAGACAGTTGTGAGCTATCATGTGGGTCCTGGGAATTGAACCTGGGTCCTCTAGAAAAGCAGTCACCACTCTTAACCACTGAGCCATTTCTCTATCTCTACCCCCATCCTTCCACACCCCCAAGCCCTCACCTCTGGCTTTCCCATTTTTATGTTTGTTTTTTTCAAAACTAGAGTCCACCTGTGTTGTTTGAGCTGACCTCAAGTTCACGCCCTCAATCCTCAGCCTCCTGGGTGCTGGGATTGCTGACATGCTCGGCCACATCCAGTTTACCAATAGCAGTTTAGCAAAGCACAGTCTGGTGAGATGTCACCAGC